AGCACCCCACAGCACCCCATGGCACCCCACAGCACCCCATGGCACCCCACAGCACCCCACAGCACCCCATGGTACCCTATAGCACCCCATGGCACCCCACAGCACCTCATGGCACCCCACAGCATCCCATGGCACCCCACAGCACCCCACAGCACCCACAGTACCCCATGGTACCCACAGCACCCCACAGCACCCCAGGGCACCCCAGGGCACCCCATGGTACCCCACCACACCCACAGTACCTCACTGGACCCACAGCACCTCACAGCACCCCACAGCACCCCAGGGCACCCCACAGCACCCCACAGCACCCCACAGCACCCCATGGCACCCGTGTGCCCACAGCAGCAGCTCGGCTCACCCTCCTCCAGGGGTAGATGTAGGCGATGTCCATCAGGGTGTAATATTCCTTCAGGGGCTCATCCTCATACAGCACTTCCACCTGGCCCAGGGGACACGGGGGACACCCTCAGGGCCCCGGGGTGGGGACAGAGGCACTGCCACCCCCCCAGAGCCACCCGGGGTGGGGACAGAGGCACTGCCACCCCCCCAGAGCCACCCGGGGTGGGGACAGAGGCACTGCCACCCCCCCAGAGCCACCCGGGGTGAGGACAGAGGCACTGCCACCCCCCCAGAGCCACCCAGGGGGGGTCAGGGGTTCGCTGTCCCCGAGTGACTCTCACAGAGCGGGGGGATCCAGGGGCTCCTGGTTACATGGAACAGGCCTGAAAGGATGGATGCAGCCCTGGGGAAAGGATGGATGCAGCCCCAGGGAAAGGGTGGATGCAGCTCCAGGAAAAGGATGGATGCAGCCCCAGGGAAAGGGTGGATGCAGTCCCAGGGAAAGGATGGATCCAGCCCCGGGGAAAGGATGGATTCTGCCCCAGGGAAAGGATGGATTCTGCCCCAGGGAAAGGATGGATGCAGCTCCAGGGAAAGGATGGATGCAGCTCCAGGGAAAGGATGGATCCTGACCCAGGGAAAGGATGGATGCAGCCCCAGGGAAAGGATGGATCTAGCCCCGGGGAAAGGATGGATCCTGCCCCAGGGAAAGGATGGATTCTGCTCCAGGAAAAGGGACGGATCCAGCCCCAGGGAAAGGGTGGATGCAGCTCCAGGGAAAGGATGGATCCAGCCCCAGGGAAAAGATGGATGCAGTCCCGGGGAAAGGATGGAACCAGCCCCAG